TCTGAAAAAGAATTATTAAAATAAGTAATCAAATAAATGAGCATGGTCCGAGGTTCTAAAAAGTTGCAATCAAGATTAAATCCCCCCCCCCTCTAAATTATGACAGAAATGGGAAGGAAGTCGAGAATTATGACGCTCATAGACAACGCTTTTAACGCCGCATACTCAGATTTTTGCTTAACCTGACGCGACGCAGCGCAGTACCAGACTCCCCGCCCTCCTCCTAGAGGGAGTTGATCCGTTTACTACTTTCAAAGCGTGGCGTAATTTATGAACACTGAATATTCCTTAATTCCTCCTCCCATCATCATTTATCCCCTTTGCATCAGCATGTTTGCTTTTTCTATTTTTATAAACTATTTTTTCTCAGTTTTTCTATCAGAATTTTTGATGTGTCCCAAAAGCGAAGGAAACCAAATGAAACCCCACCTTTAAAAAACCCCATTTTATCCGCGAGTGTCTTTTTTCTCAAAATTTTCAACGTGAATGGATCGTTACTGCTAAATGACTTCAGACATGAGCTGATCTAGTGATCTACCTTTATCATTGATTTATCTCTCAGTCAATAAAGTACTGAGAATGCTTTCCTCATGCGCTTGCTGGTGTAATTCTGCGTGTAATTTATAAGAATGATAGTCCTGAATACGAATAAGTACTTGACGAGTGTCAGTGTAAAAACCAGTGGTTGTAATATTGTAAGCCACAATACATTTTCTCGATTTAGTTACCCTATGTCACATTGAAAGTAATGCTTTTTTTACCAATTGAGAATACCAGGAGAAAACCATACTGCTGCTCCATTAGCAGCCAAAGTAAGTGAACTTAGTCTTCTACTACACATAATCCGAAATCGAAAACACTCTCAATTGCGTTGGGATCATTGAGTCTTGGTAGGAAGTCTGAAAACCGAAGACGACCGCATCAATCAGATTCATCCTAACTGTTTCGCCCAGACCTCTGGGCAGCCAAGAGTTGGAGCAGACCAGGGAGATTAGAATGTGATTGAATCTGCATTTGTTTATAAAACTCCCCATCAAGACTATAAAAGTACCAACGCAACTGAGGGTTTTATCGATTTTGGGTAATCTGTACCGGAAGAGAGTTTTTTAGTTTCACGCAGGTACTTTTGTTGTCAGCAGTATATTCGTATTCTCTAGAGCTCTGTCCTGAGCATTTAGTGGTAGACGACCTTTATACCTACATCTTGTTAAATATTTTAAAGAACATCTCCCAATACGGAGAGTGCAAACAACTCAATTTCTCCAATAATAACACAACTTTTAGGGTTTTGACTACACATTACATGCGGAATTGCAGCAACAAACCAACCCAATTGAAACATCTCGTTTGTTGTGCTCTTCTAGATCAAGAGATTTTAGAGGTCCCCAACATAGCCTGGGGACTTGCCTAACTCTGTCAAATTTTGTATTGTATCGGCTGAAAGCACGTACCTAGTAGATAATTTGGTATACTTACCATCAGCAGGTATGATTTTTCTTGCTCTGTTGGTATCATGGATCTTGTAACTTGTTCACGCAGGTATTGGAATTTTAGCATCCTAAACAGTTAGGAAAATTTACCGCCAATGTCTTGTATACATTAAGTCTCTTAGCCAAAAATGGGTACTTCTTACGCAAATTTTGTGTAGAAGTGAGAATTGACGAATAAGTCATGCCAGACTTTTTCCTTGTACTCACTATTAGTACTTTCCTGTCTTTTTTATCTCGCTTTCCCGAGAATATGAATGCTCGGTTAGTTGATATTTTATCTTATTCGCAAGAGTGCCCAGCTCAAACTGAACTTCCCGTCCATAATTTTTTAAAAATTTTATATACAGTAGGTATGTCTGGATAACTGCTTTTTTATCTTTTTATTTTTGCGTACGAAATTTTGGTATTAAGTAGTTGCCTCTTGGAATTTTTTTTTTTTTTTTTAATTTAAAGACTGGCCCTAGGCTATCTTGTCACCCACGCACAGTAAACAGGAGTAAGGACACAAGTATTTTTTATGTAACTCGAAAATCTATGTTCTTAAAAAAAATAACAAATGTATGAAAAAGTAAAATGAAAGTTTTAAAAAAAATTAATTTAATTCATGTTTTAAAGCAAGATTTAAGTTTTAAGTAGCATTAAAGATATACGTGAAATTTCTTGCTCTCCAAGTAACCTTTCATCCATCTGAATCACGTTTTGAATTTCAACTTGCCATTTGTTTCGGCGAGGCTTAATCATTTACTTATGAAGCGTTTACTGAAAAGGAATTTAATGATGACAACGTTGAGCAGAGGACAACGGGTTTAAAGGTTTTTCCTGTATAGGTCCCACAGTAAAAACCGGACTTCAGGTGAAATGTTTGCGTACTAAATTTTTTTTTTTATCCTTAAGTTTTTGGCTGGAGGAAATAATTCGCTAGATAGGTACGCTCAAAACTACCCCCAACTCAGTTTCCTCACGAACATCATTTGGTGCCCTTTCATTAAATGCTGCCCATATTACAAGTGTTGCAAATGACGGTGCAAAAAATGAGAGGCATTTGTCCTTATGTTGACACTTTATTTTGGGCACAACTTTGCCTCCAGTGTTCGCCTAGTTACGTAAACACCTTCGATTTTGAGTTTCAGCACTGTACCAGTGGGGAATAAATTGTAAATTATGTACATTATCAGAGTGTAAATATCGTGAGTACAAGCTTTGAAAGAGCAAACTTGAAAATTTCAATCAAATTTTAAGTTCTATTAAATTTTGAATTCACCATGTATTTTTTACTACTACATAATATTTATTTTTCTAGTCAGTTGTGTATATAATTTCTTTATAATATTTAGCTCAAATCAAATGTCAATTTTTATCCATGTTGTTTCATTTTGATATATTTTGTGAAGTATTTATATGAAAAAAAAGAATGTTTTTATCCTTACTGATTTTTGCCTTTTGTAACTGTATTTATGAAGTGTTATGATTGCACAATTTTTTACAGCCATCGTCTCCCTTATTTTTGTAATTCAGTGTCAGAAAACCTTTATGTTGGTTGCAGGTGTATTCTTAAACCACTGATCATCTTTTTTTTTTAAAGTCCTGTTAGAATTGTAAACCCTACAGCCCATCCTTGACGTTTAATTAGGAATCACCTGAAATATGTTTTCACAAAATGTGAAGTAAAGAAAAAAACTACTGTCACCCATAGTATTTGTACAAATAAGTTGTCATCCCATATGATTACCTACTGATTGAAGTTGATCGAAATTCCTCCATTAAGACTCTGTCAATAGTGTCTGACTGTTTTTTGAGAATTTTTTGTCCCATTTGTCATGAGCAAAACTAATTTTTTGTTTGTGAAAAACAATTTTCGCCAAGCTGTTTTGATTGTAATTTTTACGGTTAAAGTAAATATAAAATATATTTATGTTCAAGCAAAAATAAGTGGGACATCGTGTAAGCAAACTCATAAAAATAGACTCAGCAATAGCAATATTATTATGCTCTGGAAAAAATTATTTTCGGTGTGATCAAGCTTAATTTATGTATTTGTAAATGAAGAGCAATGGGCCTGTNTTTGTTTGTGAAAAACAATTTTCGCCAAGCTGTTTTGATTGTAATTTTTACGGTTAAAGTAAATATAAAATATATTTATGTTCAAGCAAAAATAAGTGGGACATCGTGTAAGCAAACTCATAAAAATAGGCTCAGCAATAGCAATATTATTATGCTCTGGAAAAAATTATTTTCGGTGTGATCAAGCTTAATTTATGTATTTGTAAATGAAGAGCAATTATAGCAACTATGCGCAAAGCCATGTTCAACATCTAGCTTTTTCGTAGTTTGAATTATTTTCTCTTCTTTCCATCGATTCAAGCTATCCCTCAAATTTTCGTTCCATTGAATATCTGCATAGTTTTTATGGGGTTTTTTGGGGGAGGTCTTCTTAATTTTTTTGTACAACTACATTCTGTGCTGCAGATACCACTATTCGATTTCTTTGCGTACCAACTCCCTTCTAACTTTTAAATTTGAATCTTTCCTTCCAATTGATTCTGATATTGCTGAGTCAAATAGCCAGTAAGTAAAGAAATAACTTTTCATGAACACAATGCCCTAAAAATACCTAATATTCTGAAATGATTTTCTCAATAACAATCATTATACTTACTGTATTGATTAGAATTTACCAAAGATTAATAAGTTGAAAACACGTCATACCTGTGACCACTCTCTTGAAAGGGTGTACAGAGTACCTTTATGGCAATTCGAGAATTCCCTGCTTTACCCCTCCCCTCCAAAACTCTCGAACCGTCCACTT